GTCTTTGTTGCAGATTTTTTTTCCTTGGACTAAATTTCTGAAACTAAGGTCAAACAGATTGTGAAACTGTCCCTTTAAGCAGGGCACACAGATATAATTTGGAGTAATGAAGACATGAAATGCTATGCAGTGTGCAATAAGGGACATCCGAAGATAACTTGAGCTAGTGAAAACAGATTAACCTACCAATAAAAATGAAGTTGAAAACCTCAAATTTCACCAAAATAAGGCCACACATCCTACAAAAAAGAAAATTAACATTATTACAGTTTTTATACCCCAACATCTATTTAACAGGGTTTAAATCTCTTCCATTTCCCTGTGAACACTCAGCACTTGAAATTGATAGTCCTTGCTTCGGACGGAGACCACATGCTTTCTATTTCACCTCAACACAAATAACAAATAGCTGGCCTTACCACTGAAAAAAGTCTTATCTACCTCAATGAAATTTACCCAAAATAAAAATTTAAAAATCAACATCCACCGATATTGTCACATGTTTTTTGAGAAAGGAAAATCAATGGTTTCAATCTATTGTTTTAACCCTGTCATCTAATATTTAAATAATGACAGTTTTTATTTTTAAGGGGAAGGCCCACTTATATATCAGTAATACTATTTACATGGCCTACAGACGAAAGTAGAACTGTTCCTTGAATCAGTCTAGTCACATAGTTCCTGTTATAAATAGATCTTTTACTACAGACAAAAGTGGTGCTGTATCTTAAATTGGTCTAGTCAGGAAGTTCCTGTAATGATAGATTTTGTCCTACAGACAAAAGTGGTGCTGTCTCTTGAACCAGTCTAGTCGTGGAGTTTGTGTATTAAATACAGGTAGACTGGGTCAATATTGGTGTATCTGTGATTGTGTCAACATGCACTATGTATGCACAGTTACCCTGTCTAGACGCAACACAATTACAAACAGCCAGTAGGTGAGATAGGCCAACAGCCAATTGGTGAGATAGACCAACAGCCAATTGGTGAGATATGCCAACAGCCACTTGGTGATATAGGTCAAGCTAACTGGTGATATAGGTCAAGCTAATTGGTGAGATAGACCAACAGCCGATTGGTAAGATATGCCAACAGCCACTTGGTGATATAGGTCAAGCTAATTGGGGATATAGGTCAAGCTAATAGGTGATAGAGCTTATGTCAACCGCCAAATTGGTAAGATATGCCCACAGTCTACTGCCCGTAGTTTAAAAGCTGCTAACACTCATTTCAAAGAGTTGTCCTGATGAGGATTGTTTCTCCAAAACATATGTCAGCATTAAATAATCTCTTATGTACTACGAAGAAGGTGATAAGTAATCTTTAGGTTTGTGAACTCTGTATCCTTTTCAGAGAGTCCACATAGCTTATATCTATTAAATGTAATCATTAGGTTTGTTAACTCAGTATTCATTTAGAGAGTCTACATAACTAATATTGTTTAAAACGTAAACAGGTTTTTTAACTCTCTATCCTTTTAGTGAGTCCACATAGCTTATATCTATCAAATTTATTCATTATGAGAGTCCACATAGCTTATATCTATCAAATTTATTCATTATGAGAGTCCACATAGCTAATATCTATCAAATTTATTCATTATGAGAGTCCACATAGCTAATATCTATCAAATTTATTCATTATGAGAGTGCACATAGCTAATATCTATCAAATTTATTCATTAAGAGAGTCCACATAGCTAATATCTATCAAATTTATTCATTATGAGAGTCCACATAGCTTATATCTATCTAGTAAACTGGTATTTAGGTTTGTGAACTTTCTATCCCTTTTAGTCTATATCTAAGAGTGCTATTTCTTTATTTTCTGTATTTGAAGAAATTGTTTTTCATTTGAAGTATTTTATATCATTTATGTCTATTTCTGACAGATCAAAGCTATAATTTAATTCATTGAATAAAACCATAAAATCAAATAACACAATATTTTTCCCTCAAATAAACATGGAAAATTTTTGCATCATGAATCTATGGTGTTTTAACTCCTACTCGCTGCAGATTTTCCTGGAGGCCGTTAGTCTCCACTCTACTGACATCATAACTGTTACTATATTTAGCTTATAATTGGACGAATTACCGTGTTTATCAGAACATTGTCGTTTGTCGTGGAATATTTATTGTTGTTCCAAAACCATTATTGGCGTCACAATTTCTGTGATGATATCATTGATTACGTTCTGGGAAACAAAAAAAAGAAAATATGCTAACGTGACACTTTCTGAGTTTCCTCCATTATTGATGTATTTAGCTTTGATATTAATAGAAGGTATTGTATTTATTGAGAAAACACTGTTTCATCTAACAAGTCTGTAATTAATTTTTGATTAGCTTAATAATAATTATTGAAGAATAGAAATCCCAACTGTGTTATCACTCTGTAATCCGCTGGCTCTTAGATCAGGTCCTTAAATTACTCCCCTACTCATTATAAATACTTACTTTTTCATGATTTTCTCTTAGATTTTTTGTTAGAAATCCCAACTGTGTAATCCCCTAGCAATTAGATTAAAAACTGTGATCAATAATTATAAATGACCAAAATTTAATGAAGTTTGCTTGGCGATTAGATTTAAATATGGCACAGATCTAGTTGCTTAGTTTTGTATTTTTTTTTTAATGGTTACTGGTGATCTGAAGAAATTACTAGGTATCTCATGTTCTGGATTATATTTCATTCAAACAATCTCTAATTATAAGCTTAGGCTTAGGCTAATACCATCTTTTATTCCATTACACAAATATCCAGTGAACATTATTTGAAGAAGAATTATATCAGATTGATGGAAGATAAAAGTGTAGTGCTCGTACTCTAGATATATCACTAAAGAAGATCAAAGATTTGTTTTTTCTTCCGATTGTTATCCTAGGAAATTTTTCCTTATAGCATATATCACAGTGGCCATATCATTTACGGAAAATTACAAGATTAACATCATTTTAATATTTTCCCTCAATATACTATATATACAATCACAGTTATTTTTAGGTTTGTTTTTTTAATTAAACACGCCAAATTGTTACTTTTTTTCATTAAAATTTTTACGTATTATATCTACTATTTACGCGAAATAAATTTTTTGATTATTATAAATATTTATTGATTGCTTCTAGTGAAAATAAATTGGAAGTTTCTGTGACATGACACAATAGCTCATGATAAACTGACATGTAACAGCTGCCACTGACATAAATTCCATTCAATCATAAAATTGATTGATTTAGAGAAAACCTGCAGGTTGATATCATGTAATACTTATTAACACAATATTTTCAAATTATATTCTATATTAAATTATATCACAAATTCTCATAACAGGGGAAAATAATTATATATCCTTCTCCTGTTTGTTTAATATTTCGGTTAACTTGAGTAGGAACATAATATATTATTTATTTGCGTTATTTCATCATTTCACACACCATTAAACATCTTTTATTTCTTTCAAATGATGAAAATGACAACCAATGCAAAAAATTGTTATTAGAAATATGCTTTAACAGAGAATTTTTAATTCAAATGTAGGTTATTTTCATGTGAAATTTGAGTGTCGTATTTATTTCAAATGTTAAATCCCCAAACCTTGTATTTCTAAGGATTTGAAGACATTCATAGACAAATGGCATGTAACTTAAATCTTATTGAAAAATTGTGAACGGACAGGAAAATAGTTAATTCCGAGCTCAATATAATATATATATATGCCCTACTGTGAGTGATTAATATAGGCCTATCAATTCTACCCAAGGGGTGTCAAGTTAATAAACCCAGATGCAGGGTGACATAGAGCGTGCTAGAAGAGTAAGCATGCTCCGTCATACAATCTGTCACAGATAAGACCCATATTGCAACCTTTCTAACCCCTTGAGGCCCTTGGCCGTCTTTATTAGCTAACATTAACAAACAAGGTTAGCCTTTAAGTCTTATTCTATGTCAGTCTGTGTTTCAAGTCACTGACAGTTCACTGATCCTTTGACCTGACTGCCAAGCTGTCGTCCTACAGCACAGTTCCATGTACATTTGCTCCCACCTAGAATATGACATGTCACACTTCTACTATGGCGTGAGATCAGTAGGCCTAGTTGCAAAAACATAACGGTTCTTGTCAAAACACCCACGAAACTCGGTCAATAGACTAAGAATTTCGATCACTGTACGTCAATTTAGGTCATGAAAGATTGTACATGCATGTCGTACAATGCATAAGTTTGCTCACGGCGTAGTTTCCAAGGGACAGTAAATATTTCATAATCAAAGTTCTGCCTACCTCTAGATACGCGGCCATGTTTGATGTGTCACTGTAAAATTATAATCATGACGTAACATGGACAAGGCATCGCCGCTTCGTTCAGTTTGATCGTTTCGGGATTTTAACAACACGAGTTTTTTGTCTCATCTTAAAGCCAAGGGATTGACTGAGACGGTCTCCATTTAAACCAACCAAGGGACTAATTAGCCTTGTTGTTAATGGAGAAATAATTTGCCAGAACAGACGATATCCATGGTTGGGGCAGAAATCATGTGAAGATGTTATGAGCATGCGTAACTTGTACTTCCTGTTATTATAACGGTAAACAAAAAAACTGATACCTGTAAAAAATAATGCAAAATACGCAGTTTCCTCGTAGATCTTTGAGGAACCCTAAGAAAGTTATGATTTGAATAAAATTTACGTAGCACAAGATTTTCTGAACATTTCAATTCCTCTCTTACTCATTTTGTTTGATCTTGATTAATTTTTATACAACTATCACAAGCGAATTAATGGTCGAAGGGAGATAACTCGATTTAACAATTTATAATAACAGACTACAAATATAATACTAAAATTTAACAGATGTCATTGTTATATTAATTTGAAGTTTTTAATAAAGGTTTAGAACATAGGGGTTAAAAAGCCAAACCAGGTCGACTCTTGGAAGCACTGGCGGGGGCATGAGAATACAAATATGACACCTTACACAAAAAACATGCAAACTAATAATAATTTTATAAAAACATTTATTTCAATTCCCTTAGATTTCATTACAAGTACAATTTAAATAGATCTCTCCATTTCTAATTTCTCCGTTATCAGAGTAAATGAACAGATAGCAGTCTCAACCTGTGCTTGTGGTTGTGGTTGTGAAAGTTAACAAGCCTGTGAAGACACAAGACACTTGATGTCTCATCATATAAATAAAATTCAGAGAGTTCACATCTTTAGAATGAAATAATATCACAGTGAGGTTATTATAATGATTATTTACAATTTAATAAATCCACAGGCATTTGTAACATTTAATATATTTAGAACACAGGCATTTTTCAGAAAGCTAGGATGAAGAAACTATCAATTATTTTGACCAAATATTTGATTAAGATCAAACTTTGCTCTGAAGCCAGATACACACAAAGTATTCAACCTAATTTTAAATCTCATGTGGCCAAACTTTACTTATGCCCGTGTTCTCAATAATTGTGTTACCAATGCCTGTGTTGTACCACAATTTTAGATAATAAATAATGGGATAAAATCAACAATGACGATATTGTACAGTTTTTAAGAACTTTCTACGAATCTTCGGAATTCTTCCAATCCTATTTTACCTTCCACGTTATCTGTACATTCAGAGATTAACTGAAATTAAAATATTTATAAATTTTTATCAATTATAAAAACCAACAGAGGTAATATACATCATTTAGTCAAACCAGCTGTAAATGGGTACAGATAATCTAGGAAAGACCCACGCCAAGATGTGTAGCCAAGGACCAACCTAACGTTCTTATCTTTGTCGCCCCTGGATCAATATCTAATTTGAGCTTGATCAACTGATAATTCTTACAAGTTGTCCCACATCGTTCATTTTTTGGTGTAGAGCATTTTAATTTGCATTGGACATTTTTTTTTGTTTTTTTTTAAACAATATTCATTCATGATTTACAATGGATAATTACATAATATGAGAAATGGTTTCAGAAACAAGCCGAAGCTTATACTAATCCGTTACCAAAATTACGAGATTTTTGGTTAACTGAATTGTTACGCTTGTAGAGATTTTTATTCATACTCACAGCAATAAGAACATCATCATCTGTTGGTAGTTGCAGACGTCTGCACAATTCTCTCATATTGTTAGCATCAATATAACCAGTTCTATCTTTATCATAACGTAAGAACATCTCATCTACACGTGTTTTATCAGTGATGGCTATCTTCTTTAATTGAGCTCGTACTTGACTTACTAGATTCTGTAAATCACCAGCCCTGTGGTAGAAAAATATGTTTTTATAGTTTTGTCTACTTGGTATTTTCACGGCCTGCCTTTCAAAGTTCAGTATATTGTCTTTGAGATGTCTTTGGGAAAGATTGAAAGTGTAAACGTTGGCAAAAGTGTAGTCTTGTGCAAGTTTCATGGCAAAAGTTTTCTTGTTTCCTCCTTGTTATCATTTCTATAAGTATTGAAGCCAGTAATTTATCATATTAGCTAAGAAGAAATAAAGAAAGAAAACTTACGATCGTTTGATAGTTAATGGAGCACCTTTAACAACAGGTTTGGAGCTAGAGATGGTTGTTTCACCCAGTTTCTGGCGTAAAGATTCCACTGTTTGTGCTGAAATTTAAATTAATACTTTTTATTTTTCATCATATTCATTTCAACAATCTACTGGCAACTCAAAACTACATCACGAGTTTTGAAGATAAACCCTGACTCGAAAATACTATGTACTCGCCATATTTATTATTGGGTAGAGTTTTAAATATTGAAAAGATGAATATAACACTCCAGAAATGTATGAAGATGTAATACATACCTGGAAATTGTTCTTTATGTTCTTCCATATACTTTAAAACATACTGATCAGCTGAGGTGATGACAAATCTATGTTTAAAAACTTCTACCACAGCACCAACATAGAAATCAGTAGGACCATAGAAAGCAGGATTGTCAGGCTGGGAACCAGGTCTAGCAACTCGTGTTCGCTCCAGGAATTTACCTCCAATAATACCAGAGTTTCTGACTGGAGGTTCATAAATAGTCATCATGTCGTCTGCTAATCTGTATGACAAGATAAACCTTCGACCTTGATCTTCTGGTTTCATTGAATCCTGTAATATTAACAATATCAAATATTTAATGATGTTATTGGCTAGATTATGAAATGTTAATGGATTCTTTGAAAATGATTCTGAGTTAAGAAGTTCATCTGCAGAGTGACTTATGGCCAAAGATATAATCTACAATGTAGACTCTTTGAATGGGTTGTCTAGTTGACAAACCCTAATATCGTATAAAAGTTATAAAATTTGTGGAAACCTAAATAAACATTAGGTATGAGCACAATTTAAAAAAGATAAACTCAGTGGAATAATAGACTGGAGAAGGGTAGAAAAACAACTGAATAAACCAGACATAAGGACAGCATTGAAACCCCATCCCTCAACAAATCAGTAACAGCCTTACCATAATGGCTTCAAATCTAAGAACTTTGTGATCATTTTCCAACATTTTGATAAAATCTTTTTTAGGAGGCTGTGGCACCAGAGATAAACAGGATTGTAGAGAATCTTCCATGGAACCAAAATTATTGTAGGGTGGAATTTCCTGAAAAATATTAAAAAATAGAATATAAACTCAAACTGTTTTGAAAAAGAGACTTATTACCTACTTTTCTGCTGTTAATTGAGCTAATAAAGAACTGCAATGCTCTGCAGTATGGAATGAGGGAAATTTTTAAGCCAAGGACACCACGTTTTAATGAAACTCACTAAATGAACCACTGAGAAATTGGTTGCTGACTCTTTACAAAAGTTATTATTGAAACAAAATCGTGGTTTATAATTATCAGAAAGCGAATATTCAGAATTACAAGTAAATTCACAATTTCTGGAGTAAGAAAACTTACCATTTTAGGAAGTTCCTTTGCCACGCCCTTCACATCGACTGATGCAAACTCTGTGATACCAAAATTATGATAATAGAAAGATTTGGTGAAATTATCACAATCATAAACTAGAAATCTTCTACCATAAATCATCACAGTTTTACCAATCAGAAAATCTTTAGGTGTGAAATATTCCTTGATTTCGTGATCCGTGACCTCCATCGTGATCAGTGGGAAGGTCTTTTTAATATCGGAACGATCCTTGGGTACTTTATGACGACCAATCAACACAGGGAAGGGATCACGTCCATCGTTTGGTGTGTGGACTTCCCGAACCTCTAGTGTATCATCTACCAAGTAATACTGAAATTAAAACAGAAATTTATATGAAAATACCAAGACTTCAATATTCAGTAAAAAACATTTATTATAATAGTCAAGAACAGTTAAAAACCTTGAAAAATTTTAACTTTATGACTGAACTAAGTTGAACAAGTTAAATCCTACTTTACTTTACCTTTTTCTAGTAATAATTTTGAGCAAACGCAATCCCCTTCCTACAAATTTCCCTGACAAGTCTCTCTGTCCGTACGATCCCAGACAAGAAAACTGGTTGGAGTAAAGATTAATACTGGTACTTACATGTACAATAAACGGCCTCATTTCACCAAACATACTATCTTTATCATCCCATAGACAGAAAAATCTCAAAACTTTACGATCTAATTCTAGAAACTGTCGACTCTTATCAAATGATGATGGTGTACTGTAGGTTTTCAGAGCTGAGGCTGCTTTACGCTTCTCTATATAGGGATCTGTTGGCAGCGATTCTGATGGGTTTACTATTATACCTTCACTTTCTAGGAAATCCTTAAAAAAAAATATTAAAATTCATACATTAATTTCTGTGATGTGTGGACAATTACTTGATAGTTCAATAGAAAGTGAATTTGATTATTGCATGTCAAAAATCCTGATGCCAAGGCCAATGCTTTCCAGATGACTTAAATACGTCCTTTTTCAGTGTCTCCATTTGTACTGTACAGCCCAAATTGGAAATAAGGAATCTTTCAAATTATGCATTGATGTAAATTATGACACCTTCTGCCCCACCCCCAACATTTCAACCCCAAAAATAAAACTGAACTAACCTGTGTAAACTGATCACAGCTGACAATTCTAAATATTTTACCATATATAGTAATATTCATTCCCATATTAATATCTTTCCAATGATAAGTATCACCTTGATCATTTTTAGGCAATTTCTGTCTTTTTATCAATTTACCTGAAATAATTATAACAAATCATGAGATTTCAGTCAAATTCAATACAACCTTAACATACATGTTTGATAATCAAACAAGAGTAAAGCAGTTAAACCTGATGTTCCATAGTAAAATCATCATGCTAGATAAATGAACTCTCAGCCCTGGCTATGATCACACGATGTCTTGACCTAACAAACTGGAGAACTGAAGTTTGAGCTTTGGCCATGAAAATGTCTTGGACTCAAATTGTCTACATACCTTGTGGCATTCCACTATTTTCAACATGAGGTTCTACTACAGCTATAGTATCATCTTCTAGATAATAATATAAATCAACTGGTCTGACACGATATACCTCGGCCGGTGATTCCATGATATTCTGGGTGAAATATCCATTGAATCTTAACACCTGAAAATATGATAAAAAACATGATCAACTTATTTGGCTGGAGATTACAACTAAAGATAAGATCTTGACAATCTGTCTGTCAAATTCTTTAAATTTCATATTAAATTTCTCTTCTATCAGCTAATTTTCTTGTTATTTGCATCTTTGTAATCACTGTTCAATACAGATTTGACAGATATCACAGTCAATGAGTTAATAAATTGGTACTGTTTATATATATAGGGGGAAAAACTGACATTTAAGCTCCAAACTTCAACACAGAACTTCTAGATAATCTTATTTTAATAAAAATACTTTTAAACCTACCTTTTTATCCCAGGCTACATGAGCTGGTATAAAATCAGTGGGAGGAGCCTGTTTAGCCTGGCCATATGTTAACGTAGGATGGAAATTAGCTAATTCATCTAACTCAGCTTCATTCAGTTGATTTCTAACAATCGCTTCTCCTCCAATTCCGAATTCAGGGCGAGCTGGAACAGCGTATCCATTGTTATATTTCAATGTCTGACTTCTGTGATATCTCATATTCTGAAACATAAAATAAACAATCAGTGAATCAGAAAGAAGATATCTAGCATGCCATGATCAATGTCAGGTTGGATTCATTCCACAAGAACAATCACAGTATTCATAAACATAGAATAGGTTCAGCTAGGCCACTTTTTAACTTTGAGGTTTGGCAGTAGAAATGTCCACACAAAGATCTAGATACTAACTGGGCCTAACAATCAATCAAAAAAAATGAACTGTCTTCAACTTGAGAATCAGGTTGAAAATCTTGTGTCAAATCTAAAAAGAAGACCTACCGTTGGATCTTTGAAGCTGTTTCCGGGTAAGAAAGGTAGTCCCTCCATGTTTACTGTTAGGTTCAGGTGTTGAAATGAATAACTAACTGTACAATAATATCAAAATCATGGGAGACGTTCTGTTTATTCTACAAAATCTCCCGTTGTTAACAAACGTTGCTATGGAAGCTTCGTTACGTTATCTCTCGCGAGAATTTCTGTAGTCTGTTTACGGTTTCTTTTCTTAAAGAGTTCTACGACAAGTCGTCCACGGAACAAATCGGACGGTCCGAACTGACAATTACGACAAACGTGGAAATGAATCGTTTCTACGGTCAGTTTTACGCTTAAAAATTACAAACAGTACTATGAAAATCGATAATAAAGAATACCTTTTAAACTACATGACTGTTCAAAAACTAAACTTGGAGTAGTTCGATCTGAGCACCCTTGTGAACAGACATATCGAACGTTGCCCAAGATGGCGTCTATCGGAATGTCAAAACTTTGACATAAGCTAATAATACCCATACACTCCTTATTTCTACTTTTTATTGTTTGATTTTGGGGTGAAATTAACCGAAGATGATGTGAATTAAAATGACCGAAGTGAGTAGCTTGAATATTTTGTAGAAGATCCAAAATGTCGTCTGTTTTTCTGAAGTTGCAAAGTTATTTTTAGAAAGTGAAATATAAACTTATTTATTATTTATGTTGGCTATCACTTTATTACTAATATTAGTTTATGTGAAATGTAAAACTAACCTAGATTTCATAGCAAGATGGCCATCAGTAGAATACTTATGTCTAAGTTATTGTATAATATTTGATATTAGATGTGTTTTAAGTATTAAAAAGGTCAAAGTTTGGGAGTAGACCTGCTCAGCAATGATATTGAATATTGTGAGATATACCTGTATTAAAATTTGGCGTAATAACGTGATATATCGGTTTATTATATTTCATAGCTGGTAGCTAACGTCAACCTGTGCTCTGCTGCTTAACAGAGCAACTCCTGACTGTAGAACTATCTATGTTTGTATATCTTACAGGTGAAGACAGGGATATTATCAGTACAGAATATAACAGGGAAAAATAAATCACGTCCAATACGCCTCCAGCTGTCAGCTGATAATCTGATACTGCAGCAGGAAGAATGGGTCACTGCTGCTCTTCAGGAGGAGGATGAGGCCTTCTTAAATATGGTACGAGATGTGACGATAATTAAAGAAAATGGAGCAGGGTTAGGTCTATGTGTCAAGGGAGGTAATGAACATAATCTCCCTGTTCTCATCTCCAGAATCATCAAAGGACAGGCAGCTGATGCCACTGGTAAACTCGTGGTTGGAGACTCCATTTTAAAGGTAACTTATTAGAAATCAGGCCTAATATTGGGAAGAAGTCAAGCCAACAACTTGTAGAATAATAAGTTATGTTGTTCTGTAATTTAGCAGTGGAGTTGTAATGTCTGCTGAGACAGTGGAATAGCTCAGTTTGTTGCGATTGTCGTCTGCTAGGCTATTAGGTGTTGTATCAGTTGTATTTAAATCCTCCTTGAGGCATGAAGAATTTTGATGCCACTGCCAGTGATTCCAAGAGTGGGCCCTGACCCTGTGTTAGATATCAACCTCTATAATTGTTGTTTTTTATTATTAAAGGTCAATGATGTAACTGTAGAGAATGCTAACCATGATGAAGTTGTCAAGTTATTAAAAGAAGCAGGGGAGACAATCTCATTAACAGTTAAACATTTTAAACCTGCGTCTCATTTTTTAAATAGAGGTAAGTTTTCTGTTATATTTTACTTTCAGTTTGTTGGCCTCTCATAATTAACTAAGGCTTCAAATAATGATAATAATATCTTGATTGGGATAACATAATAAATTAATTAACTGTTATTAAAAATTCAGAACTTGCTATACTTATACTTCAACTTTGTATTTTATCATTCCAGGAAATAATTACAGGAAAGATTCAACAGAGGAGGTGAGTTTTCAATTTGACAGTCTTTTTGATCAAACTGGGCTAATAACTCATTACTCCTTCTAGATGGCTAAATAGTAATGCCATATATACCTCATTATGTTCTTAATGTTATCTTATGTCATTGATTATTATTGTTTTTAATATAAACAGTATCAATATAACTTATCAAAATAACATTGTGTTTTTAGGAAAGACAGTTACATATACCAGGGTTACCACGAATAGAGAAAATCTGGTCCAATGTGGTAGGAATACCGTTATTATATGGCCGGGTATCTCGGTATTTCCCTGGCACCGACAAACTCAGGTCAGTTCCTTTACAAACAGGGTTAAAATTTAGCTATACATTTAGGGAGAAAAGAGTTCTACTTCACTGCAAGTTTGGAATATGTTTTTGCAAATGAGGACGACATATTTGATAAGGATAAAGCATCTGAATATTAGCTCTTTCAGCTGACTTGAGCTCATTTTGAGTAGGAAAAATACACCCTTTTACTGAGCCAGAGCTTTCAGATCTAGATTTATGTCGGCTCTAAACTCCTAACGTTGATTTGTGTTGAATTCAGTATATATTTGGTATTTTGTAGGAGTAACAGTTTTGAAGTATTTGGTGTTGATGGAGCTAGTTCTGGTCCAGTATATTGTGAAGATAATAGACTAATGGCTGAATGGATTCAAGCAGTAACCACTAATATTGACAGTCTTCTTAATCAAATGGTATTTAAACCTTTATACACCCCACTCTAAATAGCTATATATGGCCATCAATGGTAGTGTCTATTCTATGGTAGAGATCTTTGATAGATAAATTGATGAGGAGAAAGTATAACTAAATTTAAAATCGATATTCTATTTGATTTCAGCTTGCTATTATTACTGCCATTGTCTTTATGGAACCAAATAAGTGGCCCAAACTGTATTTTAAAATACATGTAGACATATGACCTCAATAACTTCTGAAATCAGCATAACTTCGGCCATTGTTTTGTGGTGAATATATTAAATAAATTACTCACATGTCGTGTGGTGTTTTCAGATTCAAATGACCAACAGATTGTTAATACCAGAGGAACAGATCTATCATATGTGTTGGACCAGTGAGAAGATGTCAGCTGACCGTCACTGTCAGGCATGGAAAGCCAAGTTTCTCTCGTTGAAGGCTGCTGATTTATTACTCTTTGATATACCACCTGTAAGTAACAAACGATATTTTAAAGAGGGTTTATGATCTAATAAAATATGGTCTAATAGATATTACAATTTCAGTCAAAATGGTCTTCTTATTCTCTGCGATTGATTCCAAGTGTCCCAGAGGTATTTCTATGATCATGAATAAATCAATAGTAACGTTAAACATATACTCATATATGACTATATGATATGATATTAATTTTGTAGATGCATGCTAGAGACTGGAGTATATGTGAAATGAAGTATAAGGTATATGAGTGTATGTTTAAACTGTTAGAGGTAAGTCACCAGTCTTATATACTGTATCAATACTTGAAAATAAATAGCAACCTGTGGAACAAATTGCCTGAGGGCTTTACAGCGCTGTGGACAGATTCAGTGATCCATTCTTTTAGAGTTACCTCATCTTGCTTATGATATTTGTACATGATTTTATAATATTTTTAATATGATTCTCTGGTACTTAATTTAAATTAATAATCGCACAGGACTCTTTCCATCTGGAGGAGAGTTGTAATCCATAGCGCCTAACTATTTGCTTTTTCATAGCAGTGAACTACCCAAAAAATTAAAAGTTGTGTTCAAGGGAGATTCAAACCTACAGCACCTTACTCTGTGTTGATATTTCAGGATAAGGAACAGCCTGATGACAGACAGTATTGTTGTAGAATACAGACAGGTAGTGGAGATGATATTGTATTAAGTTTAGAATCCAGGGCTGAGTTATTACAGTTAGAGAAAGCCTGGTATAGATCTAATACTCTAGCAATAAAACGTCTTGTGGTACGTATCTTATAGATATATATCATATACTGTATAGTTGTGAAGACAATACGCACCATTTTATTATATGAAGTAGAACAGTTAGTTATTTGTGTCAAATACACATGCCAGCATGTGGTACTTAACCAAGAGATTCAAAAATATTCCTGTCGACCAATATGTTCTCTTCTCTTCACCTGTTGCCAATAGGTAAATCTATTTTATTTTAACTTTAAAAATGTGGATTGTATAATTGTTGTATAGTTATATAACTCTAACAGATATTTTATCTATCAGCTAGTAATAATTTATAATTAATTATGAAATGAGAATTATGATTGTATTTTGTGTTTTAGAGTAAGACGTTTGGTTGTACGTGGAGAGGAGCTCTATCTGGTCTGACCATTGATCTAAATTTTGGTTTCTCACTTTATGATCATGAAACTAAGGTAGGAGGAGTTATCTCTATTCTATTTATTGTTTCAATGAATGTTGTTTATTATTTCAACTAAAACCAGGTGCTTATGATGCTATCTGTCCAACTGAACAATATATCGTATTATTTCTGATCTATTTTAGAGTTTTATGTGGACTTATAAATTTTCTCAGTTAAAATCTTCCTCTGATGATGGGAAGAAAAAATTAGTTCTGACTTTTAATAATGAGAACTCCAAAGAAACAGAGACCAGGGTATGTAAAATTTAATATTTAGTTTAATAACAGAAAAGCCTAGGAGACTGCCAGGGTACCAAGCTTTAGGTTTTCTAGAGTGTTACCCATACTTTTGGAAAGTTTTGAGAGCTAGTATTGATTATTTGATTGTTTGGTGTGCATAGTTTGTAATATTTAGGATTATCCATTCTACATCCCTTTCAGAGAGTCCTCATAACTAATAATGTTTATGTGGCATGTAGGTTTGTCAACTTAACATCTCTTTCAGAGAGTCCACATTGCTAATATTATTTGTATATTTTTCATGTCTATTAATATTGTTATCTCAGTATGTTTATCAATATTTCTATAATCCCTGATATATTTTGTATATTACAGGAGATAGAATGTACAGAGTTACGTACCCTGATGTACTGTATTCATTCATTTCTCTCAGCAAAACTCGCTTCCATTGATCCCAACTTCTTGGCCAATTTTTAAATCAACTGGTACCAAATCTAGCTCTACATATTTCGTCTCAGCATTTTCTAAGGGTAACTTCACTCATTCTAGAGAAAACTTTGATAACTGAATTCTTATTATATTTTAAGTTAGTCAAAATACACCAGAAGACATTGGTTATCAAAAATAGTTCTTCCGAAATTTCCTGTGGGTTAGCGCCTTTCGAGTTTCGACAGCTTTTTTTAAAAGCAATGATGTAGCCCAGAGAAAATAAAGGAAACCAAATATTTTGAGTCTTAAGATGTGTTTTAGTCAGAATGAATGAAGTTACTCATATGAATTAAAAGAAAGAAAATGTCTAGAGTTGTTATTTTAAAAAGATTGATACTGGCTAGATAGTTATTGTCATAATTACTCTTCATCTTTATCAGAATATTTTTAATATCATTAAACAGATATCAGAATTAAGAGACAGTTTGTCAGATTAATATAAAAACGGTTGTGAGTTTCTATGATAAAGTCATTGTTTTGTTTATCAGTATTAATGAGACTTATTTTTCTAACTCAAATGGTCTCATAGGTAAAGCTTTACTGCACTTTCAAAATTAGTAGCACCGTAGAATGGACATAGATCACAAAATGTAGCTTTTGTATGCCCGTTTTAAAGAAAGACTTAAATCATAAAGCTATAGTAGCACCATAGAATTGACATAGATCACAAAACAGGTTTGTAGCTTTTATAATTATTGAAAAAAGGACCTAAATCATTTATGAATTACTGGTATTGTTAAAGATATATTTAGAAATTTAATAGCAAATAGTAAAGGTACAATAATTTAAGTGTTTTTTTGAAAATAAAATTGTTAATTATTTACACTTGTTAAGATAAAACAAAATTGCTATATTGGATGATAAACGCTAGAGCAATATAAGTTAATATTTTACCTTTTATCAGTAATTGTAGTTGTTATTCTGAATTCCTAATCTTTGCTGAATCTGAAAAGATAAGAAAAAAGCACAATTGAATAACCTTGCCATTATATTTTCAACTTTTATAAAACCATGCTTTATATATAAACCACTTTTGTATTCATATTCAACTGCTTGTGTTCCTATTTTACCCTGTGCCAAAACTATCTGATTTTGATTTATCAAGGTGTATTAAGTTGTCTAACACCTACAACCCGTAACACCTTGATCTAACAGATCTAAAGTTTCTCTCTTATTATTAACAAGTGTCTTGGAGATATATCATTATTCAGTTTGGCCAATTTTTTTTATCATAATTGGTTTGGAAAGCTTCTTTGAAATTTGAAACCAAGACCTTAGTTATTGAATGAAAGTTGCCCTCACACTATAGTGAATAATAGTTGCTTATGATTTTCTCAATAATAATTTTATAAGTTGCTTTCGAAACCTATGACAGCTATTTTTATTAGCAACCATGTACAACTGGTAATCACAAAGTGGAATATACTCTAGACTGTTGATTATTGATGATCATCAAGCTATCTCTTTGATATTTATTACTGCCAAATTGTTATTATTATTATTATTATTATTATATCTTACTACTAAAACACATACTAGTTATATATTTCAGTCTATATTGTTTAAAATGTGTTACATTGTTTGTACTGTGACAATATTAAGCTTTTAATGTACAAAATCTGTTAATCTGAAAGAGAAACAAGTTTTTAATACACAACATGTGTTACATTGTTTGTACTGAGACAATATTAAGCTTTTAATGTACAAAATCTGTTAATCTGAAAGAGAAACAAGCTTTTACTGTTAAAAGAGGGTGATATTGTATTATAATTACAGAAATTAAGCTTTCAATGTTAAAACTTTACAATTTGTGCTGAGCCATAATTAAGCTTTTATGTAAAAATTTGTTTAACTTGTATCTAAAAGCTGAAAGGAAATTAAGCTCTTAAATCATGAACTATGTTAATTTATTTGTACTCGAGGAAATTTCAGCTTTGAATGTGAAAAATTTGTTGAATTTTTTGTTTTAATAAGTTTTTAAATCAAAATTTGCATAATCTGTGATGTTATTTTGATAAATTATTTTATGATTGGTTATTGTATTTTCTTGAGGGATTTTTGTTCACTGTAAGGTGAAATAATGGTGGTAAAGAATTATCACAGATAGACAAATATCAACCCAAATATCAGCTGCAGATTTTTGTGGTGGAAAAGATGTGGCATCAGAATTTTTCTTACTTTTAAGGGGATTCATGGCAACTAATTGCATAATAGATGACAATTCATCTCTCTATGGTATATGTACTTAAATTGTGACTTTGATTATTAACATGAAACTATCTGGTAAATAAAATAGTTTTTATTAGAAACGGGTAAAGGCTGATGAAGTCGTGTCATAAGAAATTAACAGCAACAGTCACTTTTGTTTTGTAATGTAAATTATTTAATATCACTTGTGCTTTAAGACAGTTGTGATGTTTTGTATTTGTAAATTCTTATTGCTTATTGATTGTGGCTTCCATTTGATAAATTCTGTTTAGTATAAAATATTATTGTATAGTATTTAAAACTTTCTCAAACTAGTGATTATACAAATACTTAACAATATATAATGTGGTTAACACGCTTAGTTTTAGTGGAATTGTAAACCCACAGTCTTCTGACTGAAATTTAGAATGGTATCAGTGTTCCTGATACACAGACACCTGTTTGTATCAATAGTTGACTCTCTCTATGATAGATTATATATAGACTGGTATATACAAACAGGTGCTTGTGGTAATATAGGGGTATATGTTATATTACAACAGACACCTGTTTGTATCAATAGTTGACTCTCTCTATATATAGACTGATATATACAAACAGGTGTCTGTGGTAATATAGGGATATATGTTATATTACAACAGACACCTGTTTGTATCAATAGTTGACTCTCTCTATGATAGATTATATATAGACTGGTATATACAAACAGGTGTCTGTGGTAATATAGGGGTATATGTTATATTACAACAGACACCTGTTTGTATCAATAGTTGACTCTCTCTATGATAGATTATATATAGACTGGTATATACAAACAGGTGCTTGTGGTAATATAGGGGTATATGTTATATTACAACAGACACCTGTTTGTATCAATAGTTGACTCTCTCTATGATAGATTATATATAGACTATGCTATATATAGACTGATATATACAAACAGGTGCTTGTGGTAATATAGGGATATATGTTATATTACAACAGACACCTGTTTGTATCAATAGTTGACTCTCTCTATATATAGACTGGTATATACAAACAGGTGTCTGTGGTAATATAGGGATATATGTTATATTACAACAGAGACCTGTTTGTATCAATAGTCAACTCTCTCTATGATAGTATGCTATATATAGACTGATATATACAAACAGGTGTCTGTGGTAATATAGGGGTATATGTTATATTACAACAGACACCTGTTTGTATCAATAGTCAACTCTCTCTATGATAGTATGCTATATATAGACTGATATATACAAACAGGTGTCTGTGGTAATATAGGGATATATGTTATATTACAATCATGTCAGTAAGTTCAAGTATTATCTTTGTGAGTTTTTATATCAAGTTATATTCTGCATTAAGTTAAAATACAATACTCTATTATATACCCTGTATATCATACTCTATGCATTAAATGTTGGTTGTGATTTATTTTTAACCTTAT